CCCAATTTGATGAGCGGCGTTGAAGGATGCATCAGAAGAGAGTCGAAGTAGCGGTTGATATCGCAGAACAACCTGGAATGTAGTGGTTGTACCATCAGGCACTTGTCTATCAGCTACTTGCTATGTAGCACTCACGTTGTAAGATGTGATATTTCCATACACATGTCAGGGGAAATTTGTGAAGGATCAGGAATATCTTCAGCGACGGCCTCCAGAATTTCAACAGATCGCCAGCCAAAGGCTTGTTGTTTTTTTGAACTGTTCGATTGCTAGACAAGAGCAGTCACGGTGAGGGTTCGATATCTGATGGCAGTCGTATTTAGCCCATACTCACATTCACATTTGAATACAGAATGTTCACGATATCAGCGAGAGCTTTGAGGTGGGGATAGTGTTCAGCGGATTGAGTTAAGGATGTGAGACGATCGGAGTAGGAGGAGGAAGTAGCTGCAGATTGAGAGTTCGAATGTGGCAGAAATTTCAACCGTGGCCTCGCGGTGGGCTTCGAGATCTAGAGCGAGTATCAGGAATGTCAGAGTATCACCTTTACATCGAATCAACAAGAAATACCTTGGCTATCCGGAGACAGAGCTCGGACAGTCTGCTACCCTCGCCAGGAGAAGACGAGGGCATTAGCCTGTGTCAAGATTCCAATGTGGTGACTGATGCTTAGAGCTTTAAGCTTGAAGTTTTGAGTGTCATTTGAGATATCTTTTATACTAGGAGCTTAGCATCGTGGCAGCTACAGCCTCAAAGAACCATCGGTGACAGATTTGCCCGATTCGGTCTCAAGATCTCGTTCAGCCACAGGCCCAGATAATAATACAGACGTGTACGACATCTACCTCATATACGTCTCGAGGAGAAGGGATGATCACAGGATCAAGGAGGTCAGATGTGGGACGTAAGAACAAAAGATGGTCTACGAACGGTTCGTTAGCAATATCTACGAAGCGAACGAGGTCAGCGCAAAGGGGTGGACAAGGAATATACATTTAGCCACACCTGTTAAAACGAATACCCTTGGCTTTGGTGCTGCGAGGACATATCCAGCCACAGCAAAGAGCAGCGAGAGGAGAGTAGAAAAGCGTGTCATGGCACAGGTTGAAGAAGCTCAACCCCAAGGTCCGTCTGAATTTATATCCCCGGAAAATGCTGAAACGGTTTAAGGAACCTGGATGACCAGCTGACCCAAGTTCTGTCGGACTGCGTGAATAGTTGGTCCGATGCCACTTGACATCGGATATTCCGGATATTCGGCTGTGCGACCAGTTGGAACTCGTGAAGACTGGGCAGGACGTTAAAGTCTAGGGTCCGATATGCGCTTAAAGCTGGAATTCCTGGCTGTATATTGCTATCTGATGCATAAGAAAATATACTAGTCAGCCTATACTCTGTGCTGATACGCTTTTGAAATTAGGAAATTGAATTTGATCCATTGGGCAAAAAAACTTGGCCACTTAGGTCCATTACGACTGCGTACCTTATTCCTGACAAGTCCGGTTAATAGATTCCTCCTCCTCCGTAGCCCGTAAATACCGTGTCTCGTATTCCGGTACTCTGTTTCTCTCTCTCTGAGTATACGCAAACTTGCGATTTCTTCGCTTCAGAACTTTAGAAACGCATTCAATCCCGGGGGAGGAGTCTTCGGTTTGTACTGTCCAATCAGAGTACCGCACATTACCAGAAGTCAGATTTGGGTTTGAAAGATTAAAAAGAAAGACATACGCAGAGCTGATAAGTATCCAGTTTGATCTTGAACTCGAAGAACATTTTCTAAGTATTATTGGACACCCATAGGTCCGATCGCATCATAAAGAAGAAGTAAAATCACAATAGATAGCAAGTGATAAAGCTTAAAGCTTAAAGGCCGGCGCCGATGCGTAGGGTGAAATGATCAGGGAGATGTTGTCAAAGTGCGAGATGGAAAAGACATACATAATCAGTTTCATTGAACTTTGAAACGTCCGCCGCCATCATTGTCTCTAAGTACTCACGCAACCCGCAAAGTTTGAACAACCAGATTAAGAAAAACTGCGCACTTTCTATACGAAGACTGGAGAAATCGGATAGCATAGCTTCCTGGAGATCCTTTACCGTTTTCTGTACCCTTTGGGCTATATGAGATTCAAAAGCGGGCCGCATCCATCGAGCTTGAGTTGTCTGGCACTACAAACAAGGAAGAGTGAATTTAAATACATACCAAACTCTGAGAATGCTTCCAAGCCGTCTTAAAAAAGGTTCCAATGTGCAGACGGGAGAGACAACGAATAAATTCTCGGATCCTGCACGTCTATAACAGAATCTATAAGTAAGCTCTATGAAATCTAACGAAACATTAACCGTTAAGATATATCATTAAACATCATAAAAAAAAAGTTATAACAAAAATTCTTTATCACCCATTTTCACGAACAAAACCCCCATCGTCTCTGTAACATTTTAACATCCTCAGTCCTAAACGCCGTTTCCAGCACGATCCTCGTCACACCATATCCCGTCCCGTTCTTAGTATGGACCTCCTCCGATTCCCTCTCTATCGAGATGGGTAACTGACCTACGTAACACCATTCTAAGAACGGGAACCTCATCGCGTACTCTCTAACGATCAACGCCATCTGTCCGCGATGCCATCTTTCCCAAGCTGCGCTTCTCAATTTACATTGTAAAGCCCAAGCTTGATCGACCATCATTGCTTGTCCAAGCAATCCACCGATGACGTTTTGTACAGATTGAGAAGAAGAAGAAGAGGAAGAAGAGAGAGGACGCTTTCCAAAAGCATCAATTCGTCTTCTTTGAGAAACGCACGATAATCGAGCGAGTTTGAAAGGACTTTGTTGACGTAGTATTTAGATACGGTCGTGTCTAACAATCGATGACCGTTGTCGATTCTATATGAATCTCTTGAAAACGCCAGGGTTTCGAGGAATTGAAGAGGTTCGAGAGCGTCCAGGAGTAAGTCATGATCGATTTCCCAATCGTGACACCAACCACCCTGAGTTCCAGCTGAAAGCCATAATCGACGAAGGGAAGAGATTGTGCTGATGATTTGGAGAGATTCTTCGGGAAGATAAGTCGATTGCCAAACTAGATGAAGAGAAGTGAGGTTATGGAAATTGAGATGATGGGGAGAAGTCGAGATTCGATGAATTCGGGTAGGAGAGGTGGTGAAGCAGCGAAAGAGGAAAGTTGGAGGTTCTCTGCTATGAAAGATAAAATCTCTTCCTCGAAAGCGTTTGAACTCGTTTTCCAGTGAAAGGATTCTAAAGACGAGATGTATCCTCGAGATTTTAAGAAAGACGCGGTGAGACGATCCGGACAATCGAGAGCGAGTGACTGGACGCGTGTTCTATTGGAAAGAAACGCGTCAAGAATGCTTTCGTCTGCCATCAACACGCCTTGAAGGGTTAACGCCCGAAGACTTGGGAAAAGTGGGGTATCCTTTTTGAATAGATAACCTTGAGATAAATTACGACTCGAACTCCGACGTCCTTTCCAACTGAAACGCGTCAGGGTTAATGCCGTAGACGATAACATTTCCTCCACAATATCAACTTCCATCAAGTTCTCCCTCCTGCTCCTTTCGTCATCTTCACCACTCATCCATTCAACGTCTAATTTAAGAGCGTCCAAACCCCCACTTTCGTTGCGCGCAGAACGGAGAGATCATTTTCGGATCCATAATCGGACGTGTAAAATTGACTTGATGAGCCGGACTACGAAAGAGAGCGTCCAACATGTCAAGAGATAACAACACGCGACATTCCCAATCAATACTTTGTAAATTCGGCATGGCGTGTACGAACGCATTTGCGAGCGCAGCGAGGTAGATTCCTTGTGGAGACAACTGTGTTCGTTGACACGAGTCGTCTATCGACGTCGACCCTGGACCGAAAGCAGTAATATGCGGAAAACGTGCTAAACGGCTATCGTCCAATAGAGGAGGTCCCAAGTCAACCGTGACATGTCGAATGCAGGGTCCGAGAGTGTACGATAATGATGAGCTGGCAGATGGACTTGTCTGGTGAAAAGGGTGGAGAGAAGATATCTCTGCGAGGAGCGTGTCGAGGAGACCTAGAGACGCGTCGCTGAAGGAAAAAGTGACACTAGAGAACTGAATGGAACGAGCGAGCTGCCGACAGTCTCGGTCGATGAAAGCGAGTGTTTCGAGGTCATGAAGGGAGATGTGAGGAGTGACGTGGTGGAAGAGCTCGATAGGGAGGCGGAATAGAGGAAATTCGGATTTGCAAGGCTTGCCTTGGTTTGCACGGTCAAACGAAACGGGACGAAAGGGTTTAGGTGGAAAAGCCTTCATGCTCCGAGTTGAAATATGATCGCGGTCGGGGCGTTCGAGTGTCCAGGTCATTGCAGAGGATATTATGTCGCGCGCGCTCCTGTTTTTTTTTTGTCTGCGTTAATAAGTAATACACTAGCGCATCGTTAGGATTACTCACCTTTTTTGAGGAAAGGAATGGGCTCGAGACGCGCGGGGTTTTGACTATATACGAGTTTTGGGGTCGTACGATCGCAGTCAGTAAAGAACCAGTAATTCTTTTTTCTTTACGCGATATTTTATTGGGGCACCGGGGTAGATATGCATTATTTACGTGATACTATCAAAAGCAGGGATAATCCGTAGCTGGAAACGATGTATTTTGGATACATCACCTGGTGAATAGATAGAAACAAGAGGATCTGATTAATGCTTGCATGGGACCAGAAGGGTGGTAGGAGAAAGAAAAGCTTTCGAATTGCGCCAAGAGATTAGAGACCTTGCGCAGAGCCAACCGTTGCCAACCGTTGCGCAGCCGATGCGCAGATTTGGCTGAATATGACGTCAATTTTCAATTCAAATCTGCGCAACGGTTGGCGACGGTTGGCTACGGTTGGCTAAGCGCAAGGTCTCTATTGACTACGGACTGTGGTCGTGTTTGGTTCTAGGGTTGTTGACCTGTCGGTTTGACTTCCCTCCTGTACGCTTACCAACGTGCGTGGTCATCGGCCTGATGGTCTAGTAGTATGATTCCTTGTTAGGGCATGCCTATCGAGGAGGTCCCGGGTTCAATTCCCGGTCAGGCCCTGTCAGAATCAAACCCATTTTGTCCCGCCCTTTACGAAATTCTAGTAGGGCTACCTGGTAGTTCTATCCTCTGTTGTTATTTCCTTCCTTATTTCTGTCCCTTCGTACTCGATGCACTTTTATTTCATTCAGACACTTCCTGTTTCAAATCCAAATCATGACTCATGAAACCCATGAAGGAAGAAGGTCATCCCTTCGTGTGGCAGGTACAAGGCCGAATAAGTAAGCTTTTCCGAAGTCTGGAGTAATAGGTGACAACAGTTGTAGACTGAATACTTACAGAGGACTGTCACCCAGCTGACGAACTATTCCGAAATAGGAATGAGATAAGATATTAAGATATTCCCAATGGGTTTTTACACGACCAGCTAAGCAGCTGGAGTTGAGTAAGGAGTCCTTCAGTCGGCCTCGTAACAAAGATGTGAAATTTCCACATACAAAGATGTAAATTTCTCAGATACAAATGTAACACAAAGATGTAACTTAAGTTTTGTGGCTAAAAGAAATAAAGCTTATATGGCAGAGATGTTAAACCCTTTGAATTTGAATAAATTTTGCAAGTACAAAGATGTTACCTGTTTACAACATATCTTTACAAAAAGAAATAGTCTTGAAAAGATGCTGCAAAGATGTGGCATGTCTCGCAAATCTTTGCCAATCCAAGATCAGATATTTCAAATTTTGCTGTCAAAAATGTCCTGGAAAGTTAGTCTTATTTTTCTCCCAGTGTATTTTTGCCAATCAGAAATCCTTGGGCCCGAGAAGAATTATGATAAGTACCAGTGCAGGGTTTATGAGTCTTGAGATCTGGCATAAGTTCATAAGATGAGTAAGTTACTACTTCTGGACATCAATTTTGTGGTTGGTTGCAAGGTAAGTACTTGAATACTTACTGACAATACTGTACCATTTCGAAGTAATGTTCATCAGGTGTGACCTGTGACCAATGAACTCCACCAGAAAACTGGTTCATTAATCAGGATTGTGTGTGACAGCTGAAATTTTAGTTCATTTTTACTAACTAACCTACAAAATTTCCTGTGCTTTTACTGCACAGTCTGCAAATACAGCTATTGGTTGGAAAGAGTAAAATTTCTACAGTTAAGAAGGCAAAAAAAGTCTAAAGTGGCAGAAAAAAAGGGAAAGATAAGTTTTTTGGTTTTTTGAACCAAAAGTACTTGGTTGGTCACACAGTTCAAAGTCCACTGTGATGTGTGACACTGGCCTTATAATTCCTGGTTCAGACCTTTGTGTGATGCGTGACTGAACATTACTTCGAAATGGTACAGTAACCTGAATACTCACTGGCAATATTCAGGATTTTCATGATTAAAAATGTCAAAGATCAGTGCATATCTTAAAACCAATACCATAGTGACTAGTAGGCGAGAAGAGAGCCTGACTTTTTCGCGTAGTAATTTATTCTTGTTTGAGGTTTCAGAGAGTCTTTATCATTTCGGACCTTAGATTTTATCACCGAGTGCGATTTTCTCCTATTCGTAGACAACAGTCTATCCTCGAACAAAAATAAATATCATTAACACATGTCAGTGGTTCCAGGAATAGTGTATAAATGTTATCATATGTCAATGAGCAGATATCACAAAACAGAATTAAACGCCCGGATGCACGTTCGATGCCATGTTTTTCTGCAAACTACACCGTGAGCTTTGTACTAGATTTCTTCTCATAATTCCAATTTTCCACTTCCGCATTACTGGTGTTTGAAGTAAAATTTAAAGTCAAAACATTCATTCGTCCCAATTCAGTTCCCTGCTTTTGGAGTCTCGAGGTCTCGCGAATCGGACAAACTTTGAGTCGGTCCTGATCCAGAATTGAACAGCATACGAGACTGGGATTTACCCAGATTGTTGCGTGTGGTAATGATATCATCAAAGGTATGTTGAAGAGATACAATAACAATTATTGCTGTAGGGTAAATTCCCTAGGAACAGTGTGAGCCTCTCAAGTCCCTCGGACTATTTTAGACTTACCGATATTTGATCGCCAATGGAGGCAAAGAACTGCCACGCATAGAAAGCTGGTGAAGTGCGGGGAATATCAAAGAACAGGATAAGTTCACACATCTGATGAGAGTAGTTAATCATAGAAGCAATTAGTCTTTCATTGGACTAGCTTACCCAGAAGACACCTGTTGAAAGATCGATCATTGATTAATCGCTCGGCTACGGTATAAAATTCCTAGATGAAACTCACAATACATAAATCCAGATTCAATCAAGAGGGCTATAACCCGCCAGGTCGGCCTGTCCGGTATATAATCATCAAATACGTTTTTCAGGTCTCGTCTCAATCTCCTGTACGAGGTGTTTCAATGATGGTGGAACAAGGGAAGAAACATATACAAACCAAGCTTGAATAGCAATCAGCGACGTAGACATTATATTGGTCAAGAGTGACAAAGCCCACGCAATAGGTTCCGACCAAGTGCAAATTTTTTGCCCAGTAGGAATTGATGTGCGAGTTGTTCCAGCGCTGGCACTTAGGCATACAACATCGGTAATTGCAAAACCTGCCACGGAAAATTGATGATCAGAGCTAACCTTCTCCAGAAGAATAAAATACGAGGATATACCTAATGACGCCAACAAACAGGTTACAGGCAAAACAACGACTACTTTTCTCCTGCCCCATATCACATAGACTCGCCAGATAACAATAGTATCACCTATTATCATCTTGACGTAGCGACGTCAGAATTTTGAAGGACGATGAGACTGTGCAGGCACATACATTTAGCATAAAGAGAGCCTCCTCTGGGGTTCCAAGCTGTGTAATGCTTGCATTATAACTTTCTACTTTATTCGTCAATGACCCAGTCGGATTCTCCATCAGGATATCGTGAACACCCTTCATTTTCCAGGCGACGTTAAGAGCTAAGAGAACGGTGCTTGAAGCAAAGAGAAGACATGTGACGCTCAAAATGACCTTGTTGCGTGTTGTTCTCAAACCATTTGAACTGAAGTGTACTCGTGAGTAAAGCCACTGTCTTTTGTAGGATAATGAAGGGAGTCATACATCTGAATACAGACAGCAAAACCAAAGAGAAGAGCGTAGGAGCCTATCAAGCATTAGTCAAGTAGATAAATACAAGGAAAAATATCTGTTGAGTACATGTACTCACCCCATGTTGCAGACTCTACCACAATGCCCATTATATTTTGGTAGGTCGACCGACCAATTGCAGGGAGAATTTTTTGGTCATCCCCAGAAAGCGACATCGGAACAAACTATCACTCTGGTTTGTGGATGTGTTTATGCCACGCAAATTCCACACTATTTAACTAAGATGAACTATTTGTTCAAGTTGTTATGAATTCCAACTTTGGACTGGTATCGGGTGGTATAGCATCATCACATGTTTCGACTCTATAATACTTCGGGAGTTTCAGCCCAGTCATAAGTTCTAGAATACACAGGGGACTTTAGACTCACAGAAGGATAGGTAGTTTGTTATCTGTTAGGTACTATTTATTAGATTAGGTTTCTTATTATCGTTTGCATAAATCGTGAGAATCTGCGCGTCAGCAAAAAAACAGTGACACAACATAAGGGTGAGCAAAAATACTTTATAGCTCAGCAACCACAAAGGTCTGAGACTATGTTCAAATATCAATTTGTGCAGAAAAACCCCCCGCACATGCCTATAAGCACAGATTTTGAATAATTTGGGTTTTTTGCTATGATATTCAAAATTTACTATTTTTGGACAAAATCACAGATTGCTATTACGAAAAGTATACAATATGCCCATAGTAAGGATATAGATTAGTGGGGGGTTTTTTTGTGCTTATGGTAGTATATGAATGTATTCATAAATTTGGATCTTGTGCAATAAATCATTTACTCTATACCTGAGCAGTAATTGCTCATTCCTCAACTAACAATGAGACCTGTGGGTACAAACAGATACCAGCATAAGCAGAAAAGCCCCCCACACCAATCCATCATTTCAATATAGGCATAATATGTACTTATTTTAATACAATCCAGTAATTTTGTCAAAAATAGTAAAATCTATATATGATAGCAAAAAACCCAAATTATTCAAAATCTGTGCTTATAGGCATGTGCGGGGGGTTTTTCTGCACAAATTGATATTTGAACATAGTCTCAGACCTTTGTGGTTGCTGAGCTATAAAGTATTTTTGCTCACCCTTATGTTGTGTCACTCTTTTTTGCCGACGCGCGGATTCTCACGATTTATGCAAACGATAATATATACTGTCCCATTTCGATCAATTGGCCACCCCTGCGTGACCCTGATGGCTCAAAACAAACCAAAACTAAAGTGAGCCGTGACAAGGGAAAATTTTTCATCAAAAATTGAACAGAGATTCGTGACATTAGACCGTATCTGCAACGGGAAAAATGAAAAATATAAAATCAATTCAGTAAAGCTTAAAAAACGGTGGTCAAATTTCCCGTTGCAGATACGGTCTATTCTGGTGCAAAATTCATCTTGAAGCTTCAAGGACCAAGAACTTTTTCAAAATTTCACCAACTTATAAGGGTCCATGATGCATGACAAACAAATTGAAGGAAATGAGACAGCATAACGGCGAGGAAAATGTAAGTACATCACATTTTGATAATATATTCTCATCGTCATCTTACTTAACCTTTTGAAATTGTGAAGGCCTCAGTAGGTCTGGCAGATGTTGAACAACTTGAATGTCACAGTGTGTGCAGAAATTTTCAAGTATTCCAGCCAATTGCAAAACTCTGGAGACATTTTCCATTTTCATTTTCTCTGAGCTCGTGTTTCTGTTTGTTTGATATCCCAATATAGTGTAGTCTTAGCCTAGACTACAAGCGATACTATCATATGATCTCCTCTTCTCTCCATTTCGATTTGCTTGTGCTCTATGAAAGGGAGTGGGCCGTTGCTCTTCACGGAATTTTACATCTGATGATTCAACGTGGTTCTAGTATCTTCGCGCCATACTCGTGGCAATAAATTTCAAAGGTCCTTGTTC